CTCAAATCCCTTAGATCAAGAGCCCTTGAACAGCATCAAGGAGCCTCCTTGAACGGATATACATATATACATTGATATGTATACAAGCATAAAAAACCACTTAATATTCATACAATAAACGAAGCTTTTGAAAAATTTTGTTGAGCTGGATAAACTTAATAATAATTAATGTAAACATTACTATATATTTAACAAGATTATTATATTGTCATTATTATTATTGTTGTTTACAACATTATCAATTATCAAAATCCGCATTATTATTAAAATCAAAATTATTCCTCTCTTTCATTGTTTTAGTAATTTTTTCACTGGATTCCGGAAGACTGAGACACAGGTACAACACCTGGTGGCTCTTAGTGACATATTACTATCACGGTGCTGTGGTTAAGGACACTTGTGTACCGAGCAGGACATTCACTGAAGGAGACGTTTCACCACGAGTGGCTTCATCATTCCTGAGGAGAGTTGAAGTGCCACTTTCCACAGTGTGTCGGTATCGCCACATCATTAATATAATGACAGTGGATTCCGGAGCTGCAGCGGACACAGCAACATCTCCCTCACCTTCAATATAAGCACCAGAATACACGCAAATATACACCCGTTCTCCCTCAACTCGAGAAGAATAATTTTTATTTCTACAAATACATGATGTGACTTATACAGTCCTAACTGACATCAGTGACATACTATATAGAGAGCCCCTTGTTAATGTAGAGCACTTCGGGCAAATTAGGTTAATTTTGTTCCCAGGATGCGACCCACACCAGTCGGCTAACACCTAGGTACCTGTTTACTGCTAGGTAAACAGCGACAACTTGTGTCTTAAGGAAACACGCCCTAATGTTTCCACCCGCACCGGGGATCGAATCATGGACCTCAATGTGTGAGCTTAGTGCGCTATCAACCACCTTCACAATACAGCATCATTCCTAGCGGCTTGCCCACATCTCGGCCTCACTACGGGCAGGTGCAGCCTCCCACTTCGCAAATACTACATAGATCAGTGCTTCTTCCATTTAAATATAATCTCCCACTTCCAAGGACACCGCAACCATCTTTTCGAAAGAAGTAAGAAAACTGCACACGAATTATAAAGGAACTTGTGGAGTAGGAGAGAAAACAGGATGACTATGGGGGTCAGGAGGAGCCAGGGGTGAGGTATGATAATCACATAATGTGAGTTTGTTTAGGCAGGAGCTCTCAGCAGGAGGCTGGTGTGTGGGACTTTAACAAACGCCTTTATATACTGACTCCCTCAATCTTTTGTGTTTGTGCGACTTTGTAAATGGCCCGAGTCGTCGTCGTAAATTTCTCTCTCCCATGTGCGAGTTATTCGTGTATTGTTCCAGTCACGGTATTGTGCCTTTTTTTGTTCTTTAACTAACGTATTATAAAAGAGCAAATACACGCACCATCCTTTGCTCCCATTTTGTCTTTCTAGAGGAGCCATGAGAACTAGTGGCGACCCTCCGAACACCAACATCTCCGCCCGACTAACAAAGTGCAAGCATTGTGCTTGCCACACTCAAGCATCACGGCCAGTCTCCAAGACCAGGCTAACACGCGTTAATATTCCTGATGGGTGTTCATCTTTCTATCTCTTAATGTTTTCTAAGCATCTTTCTTCCATACCTTCCTTGAAACCTCTCCATAACCTTCCATTTACCTCAGATTTATATATCCCCATAATCAACTAATTTTTCTCCATTGTTACAAAATAAACTTTTGATGTGAGTTACGATGTTCCCACTACCTCCAGCCTCCTTGTTGCAATATCCACGAGAGATACACATCTCTTAATGAATAGAAACAGAGACATACACAACTCTCAGTGTATAAATACTAAAGTATATACGCCTCTTAGTGTATAAGCACTGAGGTGTATAGATACTTGATACACACACACACACACCTCTCAGGTGTGTGTGTGTGTGTGTGTGTGTGTGTGTGTGTGTGTGTGTGTGTGTGTGTGTGTGTGTGTGTGTGCACTCCATGCATACCACCAATATGTTGATACATTTGTAGTAAAAAGACATACATCAGAGGGAGATCTATACTGGCAAATTTCTTCTCATGTACCTAAGTACAATCACTTTCTCCATACATTCCTCTTCCAATCTGACCTTCAGTCTTTTATTTACTCTATTCATTCTTACTCGTATCCACCTTATTCTTTTCAGTGTTCCTTTTTAACTTCTTTCTTTACACACCATCCTAAAACTTCTCTAACAACTTCTGCAGCTTCTCCTATGAATCTCTCAGTAAGATTGTATCGTCATAAAAAATAGCTATGGCAACTCCCGCTTGATATCAGGTTCATTATTATTTAATACGATACTTTCCCTCAACACTGTAAACTTGACCTATATTTATAACCCCGTCACGAAACACATTAAGCTACTGTATGATCATGTATCGAGGTCTCACATATACTGGAAAATAATCACATTTTTCTACATACCTGAGCTTTAAATCTCTTGAAAGTTCTATAAACCTTTCAAAAACCTAGAACCTGTTCCATACATCTGCAACACTAGTCACACAGTTTCAATATACACTCCAAAGAATCCCTTTTTACCCAGTCCATAAATATGGACTGGGTAATGGACAAGTGTACAAGGTGTATTACCTGAAGGATCAGAACCATGGCCCATACTGTTTCTCATATATGTAAACCTAGAACTATACAAGGCTTTAGCAAATATGACTCAAGAAATCGTAATGACACGATGGCAAACAAACCATACCCCCGACCACGGGTTCAATCCCGGCCGGGGGTATGGTTTCTTTAACAAATAGATACGAGGCCAAGTGATCACAGCATATTAGATTCGCAGAGATGTAGAAACAAGAGACCTGGAAGAGTTTGACAAAGGAGAGACCAGAACGAGACGTAAACAAAAAGAATTAAAGAGGCCTCATGCGCAGGCGAATATATTATGCATTGACAAAGGTCCAGGAAGGAGCGAAACGTTGTCCTAAGGTTCCTCTCCTTTTGTGAATTGCTCCAGCCACGGTATTGTGATCCTTTTTTATTCTTTCTTTCAATTCGAAAGTGTGCAAGCAGCATACATCATACGAGATGTAATGAAATCAAACTCTTGACAGTGATTCAAAGATCTATACGAGAAAACAAAACAAGGTGGCGAGTAAACAACATGTAAGCAATGAACCAAGACTGGGCTCAAGAAGCTCATCTAGGAGACACCACTGGGTGAGTACACGCCACCACTGGGTGAGTACACGCCACCACTGGGTGAATACACGCCCAAACTAGCAATGTGGCAGTCATCTCAAGCACCTGTCGACAAACAATGGCTGTAATTGTCAATCCATCAGTTCAGTCGGTCACGTATCAGATAATGAGCGCTGAACATTCTCCTCTCTCTCTCTCTCTCTCTCTCTCTCTCTCTCTCTCTCTCTCTCTCTCTCTCTCTCTCTCTCTCTCTCTCTCTCTCTCTCTCTCTCTCTCTCTCTCCCTGTACGAGAGCGCATGTGTGTTACATATCTCAAATACTTCAACAAAGATTAACTGGGGCACAAAAATTACAATATAAACAATGATTTTTTCAGTGACACAAGGAAAATACTCCAGTCATCCCTAGCACAAGCGTCTCTCACCAGTCGTGTTGTGTGATCACAACTGGTGTGCTAGGTGACATCAAAGTTTACCCTAATATATATATATATATATATATATATATATATATATATATATATATATATATATACATGAGAGAGAGAGAGAGGAGAGTAAGAAAAATCTTTCATACTCATTCATGAGAAACGTACGAAAGATTCAAAGAACTTAAGAGAGGAAAAAGAAGCAAGGACAGACTGCATATTTCTCGACTGTATGAAAGCATTTGACATTGAAAATATTTACACTCTTAAAACAAAGAAAAATTAACAAGAAGGTAAAAGAATGAATGAAAGATTACCTATATAATAATAATAATAATAATAATATTATTATTATTATTATTATACTGAAGGAGAAGTGGTATAATCTTGTGGATTATACAGCACTTGAGAATGGATAATAATCAGTTGTAAGTCAAGGAAAGGAGGATAGCTCAATTCCATGGATCAAGAGCACTTTACCAGCATGAAGGCAACCCCATCCCCATCCTTACCCTTGTACCGAATAGCAAAGAAGCCGCTGGACACCGTTAGGCTACTATAAGGTACATCAGTACCAATAAACTGTACCAATGAAGAGACGTACGCCATCATTTAGCACATTAAACTGTTCAGAGTATTGCAATATGTCTTAGGGAAGCATGGATGTGCAACAAACTGTAACAGACTACAAGTGTAACAGACTACCAGTGGAATAGGCTACAGCAACATAGAAGCCATGAAAAAAAGGGCTGCTCTAATTCCGAGTGAGAACAGACATCAGGAGGTCAAGCAGCCCAGCCCGGCAAGCTTCAGCGAGTGGGACTCACCTCAACAGTTACACCAGTTTAATTAGGTAATGGCAACCAGGTGTGATTATAATAGTGCCTCGTATCCCACACCGAGTTATCACAAGGACGACACATACCACACTGCTGGTACCGCACACTGCCAGTACTTATACAATGCTGGTACCTTACACTGCCAGTACTTCTAATATGCTGGTACCTCACACTGCCATAATCAGAAGAGCGCAGGGATACATAAGCACATGCATGTTTCACACGGTATTGTTTACATGCATGTAAAGCAAAAATGGCTGATGGTATCCTGTGCACATAAGAGTATATGAGAGAGAATATTTCCTATCTGTACTTAATGATAATATATGCAACAAGTCAGGCACACGTGAGAGGTATAACTCTCCTATCGTTAACATACATAGACATAGATATACATATACACATAATGAAATCAGCCTTCTTGCAGGCAACTTATAACTTCTTGTTTCATTTATGTCTCTTCCCACTAACAAGTGTTCATTACAGTACCAATATTGAATACAGTTATTTTTATATGGTTGAAACACTTACCTTTCATGGTGGGATTCGCGACAGGTGACGGAGACGGGATCTTGGGTAGTTTTCTGCCCTCATAATCCACTTTGCCTTTTTTCTTCTCGACATTAGGCTTTGCATATTCATGCACCCCGACTGTCTTCCCGTTCTCTACGCATCTCCTGGAGTGACCGTTTTCTTTGGAAGCTCCGTTTTCTCGGTGACGAAGGGACTCTCCGTTTTCTTTGGAGGATTTGCCTCTCTTGGAAGAATGGCTCTTGCTCTCGCTGCTCTTTACACTACTTCTTCTGCTACTCTTGCTGCAGAAGAGCTCCTGGACTCTGTGATACGACACGGCTTCTGGTTTGTGAAGATAGAAAGGATCCTTCGACTTCCTTTCATCTTCACTGTCGCCGGAAGTAGCCGATTCCCTTTTGTTTTTGTTGTGTTTCTCCGAGGCTTCTTTGAGGTCATTGAGGGGGTTCAGGAAGAAGGAGTCCTTCGAACTCTTCTGTTTACTCTCAGTCTCCACTGCGGCTGCGGGAGGATGAAGGTAAAATGGTTCGTGGTGTACTCCAGAGTCTGAGCTGCTGGCAGAGCTGTGGCAATCACTCTCACAGGAGGAGGACGTACATGTGTCAGACCCGGTCAGGGAACACTCGGAGCCCTGCAGGAAAGGAAAAGTTAGACGTCAAATTGCTGTAAGAGAAAATGGAATGCGCGGGTGAGAGCATAAAAGAAAATGAAGCAATCTGTCTCTTTATCGTTGATAAACTTAGGAAAAAAATTGCTATCATCATTATTATTATAATCAAGGGGGAAGCGCTAAACCCGGAGGATTATACAGCGCCTAAGGGGGATGTGGAAGGCATTCAGGCTTAATTCGGGGAACTGGAGCACAGCTCCAATTTCCTAAATCAAGAGCCTCTCACCAACATCAAGGAACCTTCCTTGAGGGGCTAATATCATCAGCATAGGGGCCCAGCCCCTGGACACAATGCTGTACCTCTGTAATCTTTTTGACTACCGCCCACAGGATGGGTATGGGGTGCATAATAAAGATAATAAATTAATCATAAAAAGCAATAAAAAACTACAGGTCAATATTTACCTCAGCTGCCCAGGTTTTATGTAAAATTCTTCAATATTATGTCAACTGTGCAAAGTAGACTAAAATTTTATGTCCATTGGAAAAAAAGCTTTAAGTCGTAACCAAAATCATCTAACCTAATCTAGAAATCTAACCCAACCTAAAATCTAGGTTAGCTTGGGTTTGGCTGGATCTGGTTGGGCTTCTTTTTTATTGGGTACCAAATTAACTTTTCCCCATATGCCCAAAATATTAATGTCTCCATTGCATAACCTGCTTAATTTTGGAGAATTTACATAATAACCCACATTTAAGATGAAATATGAGTAGTTACGGAAAACACTGATGAACATTTTTATATGTACAAAAAAATAATTTACGTTGCAAATATGTAATCTAATTATTAAATACTTTAAAATACATATCCTACAAGACTATGTCTTATCAACACAGAATATATGCACCGAGAGGTATATTTATGTTAGGACATATATGCTGAGAGTTTAATTTCTATGTTAGGGATTCAAAATATTTTTGTCTGGTGATGAAAAGCTCACATATAGTCTCAATCTCCCTCGTATAATCATTAGGTTTTAACCCCATAAAACAACCAATATTATCGTAAGCATTTTATATCTCAATTGAACTAAATCATATTATTTGGCTTTGTCTGGTTATCCTATATTAAATATTTATAATTTATCATGGGCTTAATGCAGTATAAAAAATTAATATAATCTGCATATATAATCTATATTTAACCTGAACAAAGCTTATTTAACTTGAAAGAATGAATTGTGGACTTGGCTCTTTTTGTGAATATAACAATAATGTTATGAATAAGAGTTGGTACTGGCCTTCCTGCTAGCTCGTAGACCCTGGTGGCAGGTACACTGCAGGTGGTGGGAGCCGGAGTCCGTGGAGTCGGAGTCGGTCACATAGTCGGGGGCAGTGCCATGCTGGACCAGCAGCTGCAACGCCTGCAACAAGAGACAACATTCAAGTAAGGTTATTCAGGTACAGGTACACGTACAGTTAAATAAATCATAATGCAAAGCAGTATATGTGTAGATTACCTAGGATAACCCCCCAAAAAAGTCAAAGTGACTAATTTCCATTGAGGTCCTTGCATGGACCACACGAATGATTTTTATATAAACTCTCACTCTCTTAGTTCTGAGAAGGCAAACACCTCCTTTTACAAATTTCAGATTCAAACCCTATACAAAATAGGCATTAAATATAATATAACTGCAATTAGCTAGTACTGAAGAAAGAGGAGAGTCTCCCCTCAGAATCTATGTCGTGAGAGGGTTGTGGGTCGTTTTCTCTGAAGAATATTGGGTAAAGTCTGCGGTGATCACACTGACTGTTTACTTGTTTTAAAAGACTATTGCATTATTTTTCTTGTGTTTTATCAATATTACCATCATTATTATAATATATATCATCGATATTTTCAGCATTACAAATGCAGTAATAAAAATATTATTAAAAAAAAAAAAACTCAAATATTATTAATAATAAAATAATAAAATATAATTTATATATTTTTTTTAAAATCATTAATTTAAAAGTAATAATAATAAAAAATATATTATTAATTATTATTATGTACTTATATTATTTGTTAATGAAATTTTAATAAAATAAGTTGACGAATACTAAGTTGTCAGTATTTCAATATGATTCTTTAAAGAAAGTCTAACATAAAATGAATGATTCCATATGCGTAATGACAACTAAATATTGCTGGACAACTATTATAATAAAAAAAAAGTACTGAGACACACATGCCTACCCTTTAGGGTAGGGTAGGTGCCTGAGCCCCGAGCCTTTAGCTCATAAGACTGTCATTCCCATTTGCTCCCTTGGGGCGGGGATGGCAGACCAGAGAGGCCTAGCTTTTGGCTAGGCCTGGGGACAGTTGGTCCCAAAGATGAGGGGGTACTTGTACCTCCTCCCATGGGAGACTTAGGTCTCAGACACTTCCTAAAGAGGGAGCCAAGGCCGGGCCACCACTTGGAAAAGGCCCGGGCCGGGAGAACACCGGTGAATCTTTAATAATAAATAATAATAATTAAAAAAAAAAAAGTTACATGAATCTTTCAGGTCATCATGTGAGTAAGACCTGTGTCAGGTCATCATGTGAGTAAGACCTGTGTCAGGTCATCATGTGAGTAAGATCTGTGTCAGGTCATCATGTAAGACCTGTGTCAGGTCATCATGTGAGTAAGACCTGTGTCAGGTAATCATGTGAGTAAGACCTGTGTCAGGTCATCATGTGAGTAAGACCTGTGTCAGGTCATCATGTGAGTAAGACCTGTGTCAGGTCATCATGTGGTAAGACCTGTGTCAGGTCATCAGTGGTAAGGACCTGTGTCAGGTCATCATGTGTAAGACCCGTGTTCAGGTCATCATGTGAGTAGACCTGTGTCAGGTCATCATGTGAGTAAGACCTGTGTCAGGTCATCATGGATAAGACCTGTGTCAGGTCATCATGTAAGACCTGTGTCAGGTCATGTGAGTAAGACCTGTGTCAGGTCATCATGTGAGTAAGACCTGTGTCAGGTCATCATGTAAGACCTGTGTCAGGTCATCATGTGAGTAAGACCTGTGTCAGGTCATCATGTGAGTAAGACCTGTGTCAGGTCATCATGTAAGACCTGTGTCAGGTCATCATGTAAGACCTGTGTCAGGTCATCATGTAAGACCTGTGTCAGGTCATCATGTAAGACCTGTGTCAGGTCATCATGTAAGACTGTGTCATGTCATCATGTAGATCATGGTCAGTCATCATGTGGTAAGACCTGTGTCAGGTCATCAGTGAGTAAGACCTGTGTCAGGTCATCATGTAGTAAGACCTGTGTCAGGTCATCATGTGAGTAAGACCTGTGTCAGGCCATCATGTGAGTAAGACCTGTGTCAGGTCATCATGTGAGTAAGACCCGTGTCAGGTCATCATGTGAGTAAGACCCGTGTCAGGTCATCATGTGAGTAAGACCTGTGTCAGGTCATCATGTGAGTAAGACCCGTGTCAGGTCATCATGTGAGTAAGACCCGTGTGTCAGGTCATCATGTGAGTAAGACCTGTGTCAGGTCATCATTGAGTAAGACCGAGTTCATGGTCATCATGTGAGTAAGACCCGTGTCAGGTCATCATGTGAGTAAGACCCGGTCAGGTCATCATGTGAGTAAGACCCTGTGTCAGGTCATCATGTGAGTAAGACCGTGGTCAGGTCATCATGTGAGTAAGACCCGTGTCAGGTCATCATGTGAGTAAGACCTGTGTCAGGTCATCATGTGAGTAAGACCTGTGTCAGGTCATCATGTGAGTAAGACCTGTGTCAGGTCATCATGTGTAGTAAGACCTGTGTCAGGTCATCATGTGAGTAAGACCTGTGTCAGGTCATCATGTGAGTAAGACCTGTGTCAGGTCATCATGTGAGTAAGACCTGTGTCAGGCCATCATGTGAGTAAGACCTGTGTCAGGCCATCATGTGAGTAAGACCTGTGTCAGGTCATCATGTGAGTAAGACCTGTGTCAGGTCATCATGTGAGTAAGACCTGTGTCAGTCATCATGTGAGTAAGACCTTGTCAGGTCATCATGAGCTGTGCAGGTATCATGTGAGTAAGACGTGTCAGGTCACATGAATACCTGTCAGGTCATCATGTGAGTAAGACCTGTGTCAGGCTCATCATGTGAGTAAGACCTGTGTCAGGTCATCATGTGAGTAAGACCTGTGTCAGGTCATCATGTGAGTAAGACCTGTGTCAGGTCATCATGTGAGTAAGACCTGTGTCAGGTCATCATGTGAGTAAGACCTGTGTCAGGTCATCATGTGAGTAAGACCTGTGTCAGGTCATCATGTGAGTAAGACCTGTGTCAGGTCATCATGTAAGACCTGTGTCAGGTCATCATGTGAGTAAGACCTGTGTCAGGTCATCATGTGAGTAAGACCTGTGTCAGGTCATCATGTGAGTAAGACCTGTGTCAGGTCATCATGTGAGTAAGACCTGTGTCAGGTCATCATGTGAGTAAGACCTGTGTCAGGTCATCATGTGAGTAAGACCTGTGTCAGGTCATCATGTGAGTAAGACCTGTGTCAGGTCATCATGTGAGTAAGACCTGTGTCAGGTCATCATGTGAGTAAGACCTGTGTCAGGTCATCATGTGAGTAAGACCTGTGTCAGGTCATCATGTGAGTAAGATCTGTGTCAGGTCATCATGTGAGTAAGACCTGTGTCAGGTCATCATGTGAGTAAGACCTGTGTCAGGTCATCATGTGAGTAAGACCTGTGTCAGGTCATCATGTGAGTAGACTGTGTCAGTGTCATCATGATGAGTAAGACCGTGTCAGACAATCAGTGTAGACCTGTGTCGGTCATCATGTAGTAAGACTGTGTCAGGTCATCAATGTGAGTAAACCTGTGTCAGGTCATCATGTGAGTAAGACCTGTTTCAGGTCATCATGTAAGTAAGACTGGTAAGGTGCATTCAGTGATGTAAGTCTGTGTCAGTCAATCAAGTGAGTAAAGATGTGTAGTATCATGTGGTAAGACCTGTGTAGAGTCATCATGTAGTAAGACCTGGTCAGGTCATCATGTGAGTAAGACCTGTCGTCAGTCATCATGTGAGTAAGACCTGTGTCGGTATCTGTGTTAAGACCTGTGTATGTCATCATGTACAGCACCTGTAGTCAGTCATCATGTAAGACTGTGTCAGGTGCATCAGTGAGTCAACAGTGTCAGGTCATCATTGAGTTTGACCTGTGTCAGCTCTCATGTAAGACCTGTGTCAGGTCGATACATGAGTAAAACCTGTGTCATGTATCATGAGTAAGACCTGTGTCAGGTCATCATGTGAGAAGACCCGTTGTCAGTCATCATGTGAGTAAGACCTGTGTCAGGTCACATGCTGAGAAACTGTGTCGGTCATCATGTAAGCCTGTGTCCAGTCATATCGTGAGTAAGACCTGTGTCAGGTCATCCATGTTAGTAAGACCTGTGTCAGTCATCAGTAAGACTGTCGTCACTCATCATGTGGTAAGACCTGTGTCGGAATTTATTTTTCATGTTTCCTGATGAATAAAAAACAAATGAAAATATTAACGCATAACACTGTAACATTATGTAACATATTATCTACTATGGAGAATACGTTAAATGATTTGCTTAACGACAAAACATGCTTAAACTTTTGGTGAGTCAAAAGCAATAAAAAGTTATTGTAAAATGCGGATTTTCAAATCAATGTTAATGTAATGCCTAGTCACTGTGAAACGCCTTATGATATTCCTCTCTTCCTTTTATTAATACCCCGTAATTCTCAGTCTTGTAGTAAGACAATATGCAACAGTTAGGTACTTATTTCGACAACGATTTCGCCTACAAGTAGGCTTCTCAGTCGAGACAGAAAAGTTGACTGTACTGAGCTGAAGGGCTACGTGTAGGCGAACGTTTCGAGAATCAGCCTACCTACTGTTGAATAGTGTCATTACCTAACAACCTGTCGTATTTATACCATTTTATGTTCATTCCTTCTAACACTATTAATTATATTTTACTCTCCTATTTTATCTGTAATATATATTATATATTTTAAAATTATATATATATATATATAATATATAAAATATATTAAAATTTTATATATATACAGTAAAATAGGAGAGGTAAATATATATTATATATATATATATATTATATATATATATATATTATATATATATATATATATTATATATATATATATATATAATTTAGCTTAACAAATTCGCTGGCATTATCTCTCAGTACACAGTACTTTTGCCACACAGCCAGAACCCAGATAAGTATGGGCGCTTAGCCGAAGCTAAGCGGTGAATCCCAAGCCCCGGAACACCAGGCTTGTGATAAGTTGCTTCACCAGATAATATCACATACCACATGCAGTGTGAAATAACTTATCACAAGCATGGTGCTCGGGGGTTGGGGATTCACCGTTTAGCTTCGGTTACTTGGTGAATCATCTACCTCTCTGAAGAGTCCAGTCATTACTTCTACTACTACTACTTCCAATACCAGCATTACCTCTACCACTACTTCTCTACTTCCTTCTTCCTTCCTCTCTTTGTCCCGTTCCTATCTCCCTCTCCTAGATACTCTTTCTTCCTCACCCTCGTGTGTCAGTCTGACTTGAAAATGGTCCAAGTCGGACTGAAACATCGTCATTATATTTCATCTCTTCATCTCGCCCTACACCGCCTTCCTTGCCTCTCCCTCACCTTCTGAGTTCTCTCTCTCCCTTATGCCTCCCCCCCCCCCGTTACCACCTTCCTCACCCTCTTACCTCCATATGATCGTTATCGGCGGCGTCGTTGATGGGGCTTTTTCCAAATTTATCCAGGCTGATGGTGGCTCCCTTCTTGAGGAGCCAGCGGACAGTGTCTGTGTGTCCACGAGAGGCAGCGAAATGTAGGGGAGAAGCACCGTCACTGTCGCGCAAGTTGATGTCCACCCCCTGCTCCGCCACCTGGAAGAGGGACACCAGATGATTAGAACAAATGATAAACATACCTGATCGGTAGGAGGGCGTGGTGTTACCTTAGTCTACGTGTGCTACTTCGTGGAAACACCTGCAGCGTACAATAGCTACCCTATTCTAGGGAAGAATTACAGTGTGGGAACAAGTGCTAGCTATGTTACTCTTTCATAGTCCTTCAGTCTGTGTTGAGAGATTTCAGTAGGGCATTTTAACAATATGGCTCTGCTTATTTATTTATCGTCCGATTTCATTTATTTTTGGTCTACTTTAAGAAGCGTATATCCATGCTACTGTGTCGAAGTATCAATAAGATCGCCCCAAAACAAATGAAAAAAAAATTAATAAAAATATTTGGCAGCAAAGGTGGACATATTGGCACTTGGAGCAGTTGTCTGGACACTTCCTACTGATATTATGATAATATTATGACTCTAAATACTGTAATATATCTTAGCCTCATCCCCCAAAAAATAAAGTTGGTAAGTTTTTGACATTTAGCACCCCTTAAGGAAGGTTCCTTGATGTTGGTGAGGGGCTCTTGATTTAGGGAATTGGATCTGTGCTCCAGTTCCCCGAATTAAGCCTGAATGCCTTCCACATCCCCCCCCCAGGCGCTGTATAATTCTCCGGTTTTAGCGCTTCCCCCTTGATTATAATATAATAATATTGACATTTAGCAAATATCTGTTTTTTTACCCCCCACCCCCACCCCCCACCCATACCCCCAATAGAAAAATATTTGTGATATTTAAAAAAATTCCATAATCTTGTAAAACAAAAATAATAATACATAAACAAAGCTTTTTTTTTTTATTCACCAAACACCTTAAGAACACATTTATAACATAAACTAAAAATATTCGGCATACGAATGATCATATTTTTTTTTTTTAATAACCAAAGAAGCTGTACATTTTTTTCCCGATAATTTTATCAAGCAATAAAAACCATCCATTGAAATCTAGGTATCAGTAAAACTCTTCCGTTTCCTTCCGGTTCTTCTATTCAACAATATTCCATGTAGCGGCTGCGCCTGACAAATGAAAAGGAGAGCTAATAATTAATGAAAAAAAAAATATTTACCACAACACAAAGTGAAATTTGAAATTCGGCAAAACTGAGACACATAGATGAGAACACGAATTTATCAAGACTACGTTTAGCTCAAGGAGCGCTTTAGCCTTGTGCGAAACGTTGTTTTAATAAAGTTTTGCTCTTCACTTTTTCTTCCAAGTTTTTGACAGTTCTTGGGATTTCTAGATAGTCCTTAACAGATCTTGAGAGTCCTAGACAGTCCCTGACAGACCTTGAGAGTCCTGGATAGTCCATGACATACCTTGAGAGTCCTAGACAGTCCATGACAGACCTTGAGAGTCCTAGACAGTCCATGACATACCTTGAGAGTCCTAGACAGTCCATGACAGACCTTGAGAGTCCTAGACAGTCCATGACAGACCTTGAGAGTCCTAGACAGTCCATGACAGACCTTGAGAGTCCTAGACAGTCCATGACAGACCTTCAGAGTCCTAGACAGTCCATGACAGATCTTGAGAGTCCTAGATAGTCCATGACAGATCTTGAGGGTCCTAGATAGTCCATGACAGACCTTCAGAGTCCTAGACAGTCCATGACAGACCTTGAGAGTCCTAGATAGTCCATGACAGACCTTGAGAGTCCTGGATAGTCCATGACAGACCTTGGGTTGAGTTCCCCAAACAGGCCCGGCAGAACCCTTTAGGGTCCAGGGCTGGCCCAACAGACCCTTAAAAGGGCTGGGCCCTGACTGTCTTAGGGTTTTAAGGGTTGTCCCTGGGAAGTCTTGGGGGTTTCCAAGGCTGTCCTGGAAAATTTAGACCCAAAGGGGGTGTCAAAGGGCTGACCTTGAGAGTCATGGGCCGTCCAGGGCCCAATTGGGATGGGGCATTCCCGGACCTTGGGGTATACTAAGGGCTCCTCCCAAGGGAGTCCTGGATGTCAGGAAACTTTAAAAGGGGCCCTTAGACATCAGGGAACCCTTTTAAAGGTCCCGCAAGGGAATTACAGGGCCCAGGGGTCCTGGGAGTCCAGGCCTTGGGTCCCGCCCGGCTGCAGGGCCTTAAAAGGGCCTAAACGTCCAGGGGACTAGGTCCTGGGCATCCAGGACCTTGAGGCCTTTTTCATGGGACCTTTGGGGGGTCCAAGGCGCCATGCGCCCGGATCCCCAAAGGGCCTGACCCCGGGTTTTCCCGGATTCAAGGGCGTTTGGAGTTGGGCTCCCCAACCCTTAGAAGTTAGGGTAAGGGCCAAAGGACTTTAGGGGTCTAAGGTCCATGCAGGGGGTTAAGGGCTGCAGGGCCTGCAGGGCCCCTTAGATTTGGGCATGGGGCAACCCAATCCTTAAAGGGGCCCTGGAACAGGGCCCTTAAGGTTAGGACATCAGACCCTTTAGAGTCCTAGAAAGTCCCTGAAAAAACCTTGGAAACCCTGGAAAGTCCATGACAAAACCTTTGAGAGTCCTAGAAACCCCCATGACAGTCCCTTGGGGTCCCAGCAGTTCCCTGGGAAAACCCTTTAGAGTCCCAGACAGTCCATTTGCCCCTTTTGGGGTCCTGGAAGGGCCCTGGGAAAAAATTGAGAGTCCTAGACAGTCCATTTTGGGCCTGGGGCCTTGGAGTAGTTTAGGGCCCAGGCAGTCCATGACAGGCCTTGAGAGTCCCTTTGGCCAGGCCAAGACCTTGGGGTCCTAAACCGTTTTAGGGAAAAACCTTGGAGTCCTAGACAGTTCATGGCAGACTTTAGGGGTCCTAGACAGTCCAGGGGAAAACCTTGAGAGTCCTAGAAGTCCTTTAAACCTTGAGAGTCCCGGGAAAATCCCTTTAAGACCTTTAGAGTCCTAGACAGTCCCCTGATAAAACCCGAAAAGTCCAAAAAGGCCATGAAGCCTTGAGGTCCTGGAAATCCTGAAGCCCCTTTAGAGCCTTGACAGTCCATGTAGACTTGAAGGGGTCCTAGACAGTCCATGACAGACCCTTGGGGAGTCCCAGACCCGTCCCCGACAGACCCCTTTAGAAATCCTAGGCAGTCCATGGGGGAGACCTTGAGAGTCCTAGACAGTTTCCTGATTGACCTTGAAGTCCCGAAAGTCCAAGACAAACCCGGAGTCCTTTGGGTGTTGAAGACCTTGAGAGTCCCGAAGGCCATTTTGAAATTGAGAGTCCCCAGAAAGTTCCCCTGGAAAATCCCTTTAGAGTCCTAGACAGTCCATGAAGACCCTTTAGGTCCTAGGCAGTCCATGATAGACCCTTTAGAGTCCCAGAAAAGTCAATATGACCTTGAGGTCCAGGGCAGTCCTTTATAAAACCTTGAGAGGGCCCTTAAAACAGTCCAGGGCAGCCTTGAAAAGTCTAGACAGTTCCCCTGGCGACCTTGAGGGGTCCTAGGCCCGTCCCCTGATTGACTTTAGGTCCTGACGTCCTTTTCAGACCTTGAGAAATCCTTTGGAAAAGTCCTTTTTAAAACCCTTTAGGTTCCAAAACAGGGCATGAAAATTGAGAGTCCTTGGGCGTCCAAAGAAACCTTGGGAGTTTCCCAGACAGTCCCTAAAAGCCTTGAGAGTTATTTGACAGTCCCTGATAGACCCTTTAGAGTCCTAGACGTCCATGAAGAACTTTAGAGTCCCAGAAAAGTCCATGGGAAGACCTTGAGAGGCCTAAAAACAGTCCTTTAAGACCTTGAGAGTCCTAGACAGTTCCATGTTGGGATAAAACCTTGAGAGTCTGGGCAGTCCATGAGAACCCTTTAGGGTTCCCAGACAGTCCCTGAAGACCTTGGAGTCCCAGCAGTCCATGGGGCAGACTTGAGAAATTTAGACAGTCCATGAAAAGACTTGAGGGGGTCCCAGGGCAGTCCATGAAGACCCTTTAGAGTTCCCAGCAGTCCCTGACAGCCCTTGGGGTCCTAGACAGTCCATGACAGACCTTGAGAGTCTAGACGTCCCTTTACAGACCTTGAGCCCCAGAAAAGTCCATGGGGCAGGCTTGGAATTTTAAGTCTCAAATCCCCGCAAACCCAATAAATTAGTTAAAAAAGCGGCCTTGGCCTGGCGGCGGCGGCCGGGTTGGCCGGCTGGCCGGGGCGGGGGACGGCCGGTTCCGGGGTCCTGGCGGCCGGCGGGGGCCGGCGGCGGGGCCCCTGGCGCGGGTAAGGCGGGGGCCCGGGGGGGCGGGGTTGTATCGGGGGGGTTTGGGTTTTAAAAAAAGAGTTTAAAACAGAGTGGCTGTAAAAAATTGCATGCCCGTGAGCCCGGTCCACACAAAAAACCCGTGAGTTTGGGCCACACCCCTGCCGTGAGGTGGTCCCCAATGCCCCGTGAGTGGGCCCCCACTGCCAGTGAGCTGGTCCAACCCCCTGCCAAATTTAGTGGTCCCCCACCGCCCGTGAGTGGTCCCACCACTGCCCGTGAAAGGGGGGCCCCAAAAACTGCCGGTTTACTGGTCCACCCCCCACTGCCAGTGAGTGGTCCAACCTGCCGGAACTGGTCCCATCCCTGCCGTGAGTGGTCCACACGCCCGTGAATGGTCCACACATGCCGGAGTGGTCCAACACTGCCAGTGAATGGTCCCCACAATTTCCGTGAGCTGCTGGTCCACCACTGCCCGTGAGTGGTCCCCACCCCTGCCAGTTTAACTGGGCCCCCCAAAACTGCCGGGGAGTGGTCCCACACCCAACGGGGCCCAGGTGAGCTGGTCCCCCCAAAACTGCAGTGGGCTGGTCCACACACTGCCAGTGAGCTGGTCCACCCTGCCAGTGATGGGGCCAAAACAATGCCGTGAAAAAGGGGCCAACACTGCCAAGGGGGAGCCTTTGGGGCCACCCCACCCGCCCGTGAACTGGGCCCCACACTGCCCGTGAGCTGGTCCCACTCACTGCCAGTGAGCTGGGCCAACCCCCTGCCAGTTGAACCCAACTGGTCTTCCCCCACCCCGCCCGTGACTGGTTTCCCCACCGCC